CGGTTCAATTTAAATTATAAAAAAAATAGAAAAATTCAACTTTCAAACCCATCAAATTAAATTTAATAAAAAAAAAAACACAAATCCAATTCAATGATGTCTGTCTACCAACCAACGACACTAATAACTTGTACAATCTCCGAGACGCTCGTAACACAAACAGGGGGAGAGAACAGAGAAAAGTATATAAATCGAATCGAAAAAGCACGAGAAAGAACATCGTATCCGGGTAACACGAATGGCGCAACTTGGAGTCCCATTCAAGTTACAACAATGCAAACTCTCTCATATTCAACAAACTCACCCACACACTCGCTATTCCTTCTCTCACTCTCTCTCTCCTCTTCCCACCTTCACCACCAAACCTTCTCGCCATGCCCACCCCTTGTCCACGCTTCGTTCCCGCACTCTCGTCGCACGCTGCAGCTCCAACAAATCAGGTACTTGCTCCGTTTAAGTTCGCTTCCGCCTTTTCTCAAACACCTTGTCGTCGCTCATTATCACTTTAAACTTCACACGTCCTCTGTTAGATATAATGTCGCAATTGGAGCTTGGGAAACCCGACCCCAAGGGGAAACCCCACAAACGAGTCAACGGTATATTCTGGATCATTCTCCTCAACATTGCTGTATTCGTTGCTGACCACTTTTTTCAGGTAACTCTCTCTATCTCTCTTTTTTCTATGTAAAGGTTGGATAATTTATCTCATAAGCGCTTATAAGAGAAAAATGTTAGAAGGAAAAGTCAAATAATCTTGTAAATAGCTAAATTAGTTTGTGGGCTTATTTGGATAAACTTCTGTAAAAGTACTTATAGGAGAAAAGTTAGGAAGGAAAAAAGAAATAAGTTTCACTGGAGCTTGAAATTAGCTTGTGCATAAACTAAATCGTAGAAGTTCCGTTGTTGGTTTCTTTTAAATCTTATTTTTAACTGATGCATAAATAAGTTAATTTTAGCTTATAGAAAAGTTTATTTTAATTTTCATTCTTAGAAATGCTTTTGGAAAACTTAACCAAATAGAACTTATGTAGAAGCTAATATGTAGAAGTTTTCTCCTTTTAACCTATCTAAAAACTTGTTTTTAATTTATGTATAAGTTAGTTTTGGCTTATGAAGAAGTTTATTTCATTTTTTTTATCTTTTATACTTTTAAAAATACTTACGGGAAAGTTTATCCAAACATGACTTAATATAAAATCACTTCACAATCTCTCTCTTTTTCCCGTTTTGTGCCCATTTCTTTTTTATTTTGTCCGTGATGAAAGTAAAGGAGAGAGGTAAAACCAAAAAAAAAATGTTTTTGCACATTGCTTGGTGGGGGTGTGAAATGAATGGAAATAAGAGAGGTAGACAGAAGAGAAAAGAAATAGAGTTAAAAACATGGTAGAAGATATAATGGAAAAGAGATGACTAAGAAAAATAGGAATGTGAAATGAATTGAAGAGAAAGAGAAAATAAAAATCTTATTATTGTGGGTAAAAGAGGAGCTCTTTTTCAAGTGGTGTAAGAAAATTGACATGGCATAATCAGGGTTGTTTCAGTGTTTCTGGCATGATGTATGGTTTTATATCATTTCTGCAAGGTTAATGGGATCAAGGCTTTGTACTTATTCCACAATTGGCCTGCTTGGTACCAGTTTGTCACAGCTACATTTTGTCATGCTAATTGGTGAGTGCACTCCTCTCTTGATTCTTTTTCGTAAAGTTTGATGTGTATTATTTTCTAATCAGAGTTTATTTTCATCTCAATAATCTGAGTAATAACGGTTGGCCTGAAAGATCAATTGAAATTACTGAAGGTAAAATTCAAGTTTTGATTGAAGAGTAACACCAAAAGCACTTAAAGAATCTCATCTAAGTTTTTTCCTTTCTAGATTTGCGTTGCACATAATCAAGGAAGTATAGACACCTACAAATAGTAGTCTAGTCATGGCTTATATGTCTCGGACACTTTGAATACTCTTAGCTGCATTTATGAATATTTTTACTTTAGTATTTTAATATTTTATATGAATAAAGATGAGAATATCCCAATTTAGATGAATTATGGCATTTTGTTATTTCTACAATGATCACTTTGGAAACATAAGTTCTCTCTTTTGATTTATGATTCTGATTTGAATTGATTTAATGTTATATAACTTTGTCGAGAGTCTCATGATTTTTAAAATGTTATACCACGTATGTGTTTTGTGTAGCATATGAACTTTTTTATTTTTTGATAAGGCAGTATATGAACTTTTTATCACAGAATTCTCTAGTGGAAAGCTGAAAGCTCTCTCTCTCTCTGTCTCTCTCTCTTTTTGTTTGGTGAACTACTTTCTCATTATCTCATGTTACAATATGACTAATGCCTTAACTTTTTCAGGAAGCATCTTTCTAGCAACCTTTTCTTCTTGTACATTTTTGGTAAGGCTGTAATACGATCACTCTTTCTGGTTAGTGAGCAGTTACAGAATTGATGCTCAAGCATTTGTTATTTTGTTGTTTCCACAACAGGAAAGCTTGTTGAAGAAGAGGAAGGGAACTTTGCTTTGTGGCTCTCTTACATTCTTACTGGTGTAGGAGCAAACCTTGTTTCATGGCTGGTTTTACCAAGAAATACGGTTTCTGTTGGAGCTTCTGGTGCTGTTTTTGGGTTGTTTACTATTAGTGTCCTTGTAAAGGTACCTGGAATTATATTCTGGAGTTCATCTGTTTGTGGTATTTCTCCAAGTTTTTACAGTTTTTCTTTTACTTGATACAGATGTCCTGGGATTGGAGGAAGATCCTTGAAGTGCTTATATTGGGTCAGTTTGTAATAGAAAAGGTGGGGACATGAACAACAAATGATTATGCAACTTATTTTCTAAAAGTTATTATTTGCTAAAATAATTTGAAAACAAGACCTTTTTTAGATTTATATCTTAGAGATCAGAGATATTGGAACCTAACATCATGTTGTTACTTTTGCAATGTGCATCCAATATCATGATTTATCATGCTACATAAATGATTTCCTGTGCGTGTTGATGTCTTTCTTGTTTTTAATTGATCATTTATTTATTTGTTTTGATAAGATAAAACCTCATCTTTTGGATTCATTATTTATTATATGGGTCATGCCTGAACAACTAGTAGTATCAGACCGGGTGTTCTGTTTAATTGATCTGTTCTTTGCGAGCGTCTTAGGTCATGGAAGCAGCCCAAGCTTCAACATCATTATCAGGAACCTTTCGTGGAGGCTATGCATTACAGAGTGTAAATCATATTGCACATCTTTCAGGTGCTCTTGTTGGTGTGCTTTTGGTTTGGCTACTTAGCAAAGTTCCTTCTGATCCTTCAGACCAATAATCCACGCAGCTCAACAAAACAAGCCAAACTACTAGTGTACCTTTGCTAGACCAATATTTCAAATCACAATTTTCCTATTTCTGTTGATACTGGGCGTCCAAATAACATCAATATATCAGTTGTAGGGGCATTGTCTTGTTAAGAACGCTCACTGTAGCTTTGTTGTTACAGACACCTTCGTATTGAGAAGGATTCTGTTTAAACCCAAAAGTTTATTGAATGTCTATGGAATTGTATATAGCGAGGAATATTGTTGCTCACATAAATTTTATGCTCATAGTTTATGCTATTACATATTTTAAAAATAAATGTAATATCAGTTAAGGTCCAGTTGGGCAAATGCATATAACTGTATTACTTATGCCAAAGTGAAGGGTATATATACTGATGTGTGTAATATTATTGTCCATCCACATGTAATGGGGTTTAGCCGTCACGTAAGTTCGAGCAATAGTCAGAACTAACACGCAACATCGCGTAAATTGATTCTGCTTCTTTTTACCTATCATAAAAAATTATTTCTAATTACTTGTCATTTTAAACATTCAAGATGACATCAGTAATTGTCATTTTTTTTATTATATCCTTATATATATAAACAAAAAAGAATGGCATATAAAATGTTACAGTCAGATATGAGTTAAATAACATTAAAAAAATTACAAATAATTTTAAAGAAAAGGGGAAATCAATTACTTCTCTTAATTCATGTATTATGTATCACTTAAACAATCCTAACTTTACACAACTCAAAGAAAGACATAAGTAATAACTATTCTTTGAACGTATAATTTGTAGTTTGATCTCTGTTGTCTATGTTTTTTTAAGGTTAAATTTCAACATAAGGTAAGATCTGACTAGTGCACGGTCCATAATTGCAGTACTCTATTAATGCAAATTGAGGCAAGTGTGAAAGTTGGGTCGGATGCTACCTGTATTTCCTTAGAGATCGGGAATTACTTGGACCAAGAATAAAATAAAAAGAAGCGATAAGGAGTTACAGCATAAAAAACAAGCCTTTTGATGTATTGCGTGGGAAATATAAGGAGTATTTTGTTAACAAAAGATGAACAGTTTGTGTTGACATATGAATGTAATTACATTAAGATATTCCGCACTTCACCCTCCATCCCCAAACCCCTTTAGTTTAAGAATACTGCTGTACATGAATTTGCAAGTTGGTATGTACCATGCTGTCCTTGAAACTGTTTGCACATAATGGAAAATCCTTCACCAAATCTACAAATTTGAGAATGACACTTGAATTTTGTGGTGAGCAATGGAGTCTCCAAATCACCATCTCTAAGGAGCCTTCTATTTCTTCTAGCTGTCAAAGCTGAACCCTTCTGGTCAGTGGAAGACATAGAAGGAATCTGTAAGAAAGGAGCATTACTAGGTGGCTTTTGGTAAATTTTCTCTGAACTTTTAGCATGTATATTGTCCTCTTCCTCTATTGAATTGGTCATGTGCTCAGTTTTTACTCTACTCAGTAGTGTGTTTGCCTCTTCTTTCAATCCAGCAAAACACCAAGCTTCTGCAACAAGCAAAATGGTTGATTTCTTGGGTTGAACGTGAAACTCTTCCATTATTTGGAGTATTCCTTCTGATTTCCATGGCTGCTTCGCTTCTGCATATCCCCAAATTAGTGTCTCAAAGGTCTTCAAATTTGGAGAAACCCCAAATTCACACATCTTGTCAAAAACCCTGATGGCATTGTCCATTCTGCCAACACTGCACCATCCACTTATGACATTTGTAAATATAACAACATTTGGGTGGACACCTGAGTTAGTCATGGCAGTTAAAAGTTCTTCAGCTTTTTCCATTTCTTGTGCTCTCACATATCCTTTAGCAAGAATACTATAAGCATGAGCATCCGGCTTTACACCAGATTTTAACATGTTATTGTAGATTTCCTTGCACTTTTCTAAGAATCCAGCTTGGCTCCATGCGTTCATTATAGTACTATATGTTATCACATCAGGTTGAATATGAAATTCTTCCATCAACTTTAGCACCTAATATGGATGTTCACCATGAGTAACAACGCAGAATGTATACATTCTTTCAGCCAAAAAATTATTAGACAATTGCATAATACTCCCACCATCCCACAATAACCGCATTTTAAGATTTCTACATGTAGATTAAGGCTACACAATAAATGTATCACTTTTTGATACAATTTTACTAAAATAACCTACACTATCAATAAATAAATTACTTTTAATCGTAGTAGTTGAATAATTTATAAAAGATAAATTAGAAAAAAGTTAATTAATATTACATTCGAAAGTGAGAACATCATTCATTTTGAGACATTTTCCAAATTCTAAAACTGAAGTCATTGTAAAACGGAAGGAGTACATGACACACTAATTTAACAAACATCTAACTCAACAAGACTGAAAAACCAGAGGTATAAAACAATAAAGCCAAATTATCAAATTATATATAGTCCTTAGTAGATTTCAACTTATAATTCCTCTGCCATATAGCAAATTGTAAACAAATATGACAAACTGAATCACACATGATTCTAAAATTGTTTAATCAAGAACTAATGCAATTGCACCAAGAAGATGGAGGCATGTTTATACACTGGAAATATGGATAAAAAGGCTGGCAATTGGTAAATTCTTGAAGATTCCTACATAGAGTTGCATTTTACAATATTCAAAAATACCATGGCTAGTCTCTAGTTTTCTTTTACCATGGCTTCTTGCTTTACTGTATATTAATTATAAAATAGATGTCAAGAGTGTATGAAGTAAAGAGGTCTGTGATTGATTTTATGTCAAAAGGAGTCTAAAAATTTAGTCAAATAATTAACAGACCTTCATCAACAGTTCCTAAACCAAGTATGTTAATAAAATAAAAGGTTCAGGCAACAATAATAGGTTCAGGCTTACCTCATCGACACCATCTCGATCCATTATGTCCACAAAACCATTAACCAGCAAATTAAGTACAATAAGATTGGGCTGCAGCCCCAGATCCTTCATCCTGTATACGAACCTTAGAGCTTCCTTTACCTTACCTTCTCTACAATATCCACTAATGATGATGGTGCAAGTTCTATCATTAGGTTCTAAACCATTCCTCTGCATCTCTAAAATCATTGCTTCAGCCTGAGCAGTCTTCCCATTCTGAGCATAAGCGGTTGCTATCGTGTTGAATGTAACAACATCTGGTTGCATTCCAGAAGCAGACATCTTATTCACCACATTCCATGCCTCAGAGATGTTTTTCAGTTTACACCATGCTCTGATAAGCATATTGTATGTCTTGATATTGGGTTTCAAATTTCCTTCCGTTGACATAAGATCTAGCAACTTCATTGACTCATCAGGATTACCTGCAATCCCATACCCTTTTATCAATGTGTTATAAGTACTAGTACTAAGTTTTACTCCACTTTCTTTCATTTTCTGAACAACTTTCATGGCATCCTCCATGTTCCCGGATTCAGCAAATGCATTTACAAGAGCATTAAAAAATATTGAATCAGGCTTCATCTGTTTTTCTTCCACCTGTGAAACAATGGAATGTATAGGCTCGAAGCGTTTCTGAGTGGTCAAGGCATTTAACAGTGTTGTATATGCTGCTAAAGATGGTTGGTGCCCTCCTTCAAACAGATTTTCAAAAATGATAACAGCTTCCTGAGGCTTTCCACTCTTGATCAGAATATTCATTATTTTTGTTCTCGAGCGCACGACTCGGCAACCATTTTTACCCTTGCAGAAAGTGCAGCTGGGTTGAGTGTTTGAATTTGTAGCCTTAGTAATTTTATTCATGTGATTCTTGCCATCAAAATGATCCCCCTACAAATTATATAGCAAAAGATGGTTCATTTTTAGCAGTACTACTTCTCCTGAACTTGATGTAGACTAGATTTAGACATGTTATATACAACAGTAGGCATACAATTACTCAGCAAATGAAAAATTATGATTCAGTGGTTAAAAAAGATGGAAAATAGCATGTTTCCATTTCATTACAAGCAAATTACAACTACCAAAAGCAACTGATAATCATTAAAGAAGGTATTGAATAATCTTTATCAACATGGTAGATAACAAACATTGCATGAGTTTATGACTTGCTACCCATTGCTAAAGACAAATCACCCTAAAGTCTTAAACAGTATAGAAAATTTAAAATCAAATATAATAATAATTATTATTTGAATATAAAGTTATAAACTAAAAGAGATGTAAATATATATTAAATTAAATAGTACCACTACCTAGTAATAGGTTACAAATGAAATATGATACATTTCAATGCTACTGATAACCTAAAAGCATCACACTCAAACTTATTTTCTAAACAGTTATTAGAGTTCTGTATCAATGAAATCTCCATTCCTTTTGAGAATCTGTGGGTCACGTCAATTGACATTTTCTGGAAATGTTGTATCACTGATTTAATGTCCTTCTGTAAAAGTAGGTAATAATTAACACTTCTAAGTTTCCTAGTCTGCAAGAACGTTGAAATTTTATTGTTTCTTTTTTTAAGAATAAAAATATTGCAGCCATCTTCAATTGTTTTTCACATTTTCCACAAACCAGTCAGACAACTATGTTGTATCTCTGAGCTATAGTATCGTGAATGTTCAATAAGATTGTTAGTTACACTAATATTAAGCCAAACATTCACACCAAAGTGAACAACTGACATATGTAGCATGAGTTACAAGTTTCATTCTTTTGGCTAAACTACAAGGAACCACCTTCAACCAAGTGCAGAAAACTCTTCTGTTGGTTTAAAATTCAATGGCTTGACTCCTTGGACCTACTTTTGCATATGTGCAAGTGGTTCAATTTAGGGGTGACAAATGAATGGATTGGATAATTTTTTTAGTGGATCATAATAAATTGGATAAAAATAATCTATTAATCCATTTAGATCCATTAAAAATTCACATAAAAATCCAATCCATCAAATCCATTTAAAGCAAAAAATTCATCCAATCCACCCATTAACAATTTTTTCATGGATGGATATCCAATCCATCCATAAAAGTAGTGTTTTAAAAATTAAATAATCTTATTTTTGAAATATTTTATTTCTCTCTTTTTTCTTTATAAGTCATTATACTCTTATATAGTTTTTTAAAATTTGCAAGACTTTTCTTTTTAATGTCAAAATAGTCTTTTAAAATTACAATTTAATAAAAATTTTATATTATAATCCAATGGGTTTTGAAAAAGTAGTGGATGGATCACTAACCATCCATAAAATTAAATGGATGGATTAGATCTAATCCATTATTTATTTTTGGGATTGGATGGATTTATTTATGGATGGATCGGTTGGATGATGGATAAATGGATTGATTTTCCACCCCGAGTTCAATTTACACTACTCAGTACAGTTTAATAAATTCAGGGAGTAGAGTTGCTTAATTGTGAACCACAAGGATTTCTCTGTAACTGACTTATGAACCATTTTAGCATTAGATTTTCTTCTAATGTGGTATACAACACTCACATTCAGATTTTGAATTTCTGGGAAATAGTTGTAACATTGAAAAAAAATGGAAATAGTATGACAATGAAATATCTGTAGTTCCCCTAAAATTATAATTGAAAGCTCTCAGATTTAGATCCAACTAGGCAGGAACATGAATCAAAAGCTGTAAAGCAGTAAAATGACAGCATTCATGTGATCAATTAGGTAAATTAACCTTGACAGCTGCTGATTGAAACAACCCTCTCTTCATATTATTTCCTGATTCGTTTCCACTTCTAGTTCCAGAATCAGCTTCATCATAGTCAGATTTTCCCATTTTCTCCTATGAATTGGCGTTTCTCAACCTCAATCACTTGACTATGAAACAAGCACCATTGAAATGCTAACATTTATTTTCTATTACATGCTCCCTCCTAAGATACCACAGACAGAAAACACCTGAAAAGCTGATAGAATGTGAGAATGAGATGCCAAACAATTTACAATCATAAATAGAAAAAGGGCAACATAGAAATGCCATAAATACATGAAATTACACACATTTTAATATCCCTTCTTCAATGCAATATTTTACTTTTTCTCCTAAAAACATGGGCTTTAAATTATAATTTATAGCACTACATGGATTCTTGATTTTCATTTAATTTAATAACTTCACACAAAGAACAAAAACATAAAAAAAAAAAAAAATTTGTCTAAACATGCTTTCTTTCTTTGGATGTTTATGCCCTTTTTTGCTTGAGCATACAACAATAAGAGAGCGTAATAACACTAGAAATCAAAACAGAAAAAGAAGGAAAGATTCCAAAGACAAAAACCGTAACTGGAGATGACCCATAAAAGAATAGGCAAAGTGGAGAGCGTTGAAATTTAGAAGATCGCAATTAAGAAGGAAATGTTGGGTTTTTTACCTGCTGTATGAATGTGCATTAGGCAATGGTACGAGAGTGGGGTTATGTAATGACATAAGGATACATGTTCGAGTGTAATTGGAGTACAGGTGGCATCATTGTGTCCAAAGAAAAAACAGAAAGAAAATGAAAGATATGCATGATTGCAAATTATCCACTCAAAAAATCATATCCAGAAGCAAAGGTGGGATAAGGAGCAAGTGTATGTTCATGATTCTCTTCTATGGAATCAAATGTAAAATCTTTTTCTCTTGGACAAAGTTTTGGGATGTCATGTCTATTATTGTAATAATTTTTTGGCTTAAATATATTTTTAGTCTCTTAAATTTAGGATAAATTTATTTTTGTCTCTCAAATTTAAAATTGTTATTTTTAGTCCTTTTAATTTAAAAAAATCTTATTTTAATTCTTATATTTAAATTTTGTTAAGAAATTTATCAAATATTATTACATAAAATTTAATTTTAATCTTTAATTAGTCACTTTCAAATATGTTATTAGTGATTTAAGGGGCTAAAACAAGATTTTTGAGAATTACAGGAACTAAAAATAGCAGTTTTAAATTTGAGGTACCAAAAATAAATGTCTTAAATTTGAAGGATTAAAAATATATTTAAGCTTAATTTTTTTTATTAATTTAATTTTTTAAAAATAAATCAAAAAATAATATTTTATTTAAAGTAAATTAAATTCTACTTAAATTAATTTATGATATAGATAAAAAATTCGAAGTGAAATCATGATGACATGTTCAAAATAGATTGTTGTTTTATCTTGAAATGCAAGAAAATTTTGAAGAAATTAGAGAAAATAAACTCACAAGATGAGTTATCTACTTTTTGGGTGAAGAAAGTTACTTTAGAAGTTTAAAATACCGAAGTGATTTCAAATGTTAAAACAATAAAGCTTAACTATATTATTAATATAAGGTAAATTGCCAAAGAATCTTTTGATTATGTTGTTAGTCAGCTGAAAGTTTATATTTTGAACTTGAAACTTCTTAGTTTAAGATAGTTGTTAAAGGAAATGAATGGAAATTATTCATTTACTCCTTTTTAGTGTATTTTTGCAATTTGCTTTATAATCTCATGTTATATTTCCGAGTTAACACGATACTTCCTTTTCATCAACTATCTTTTGCATTGATATATTTATATTTCAGCTTAATAAGTTCATCAAAGTCCTCCTTCTATATTAACTTTATTGTCTTACTTTTTCATATATTTTAGTCCTAACTTAACTTTGGTAATGAGCAAGATACTCTGGTAATGAATCATTTTTGGATTATCATTATTCTTTTAGTGAGTTGGACCTATACTTAATGCTCTCAATTTTTAGACTTAGATATTATATTTTGCTTAGAGGAAGATAGAACTGTGAAAGAAATAGTAAGAAATAAAGAAAAAGGAGAGAAATAATAATAAATAGAAAATAGTAGAATTTTAAAGTGTTTGGATAAATAGAAGTAAAAGAAAAAAAATTGAGTTTTCTTTTCATTAATTTGATCGAATAGAAAAGTGGAAAGAAATAAAATAAATTTTTTTATAAAAACATTTTTACCCCATATATATATATATAATATATTATGTGAAAGTAATTAAAAATAATTAGGTTAAAGTTGTAATTTTCAATTGGATCCACATTTTTATTTCTTATTTCTCCATTTTCTTCTCATTTTAGAAAAGATTTCTTTTAAGGTGAGAGTTACATATTTGTTTTCTCTCTTCTCTACTCTTCTTATAAAGCAAACAAAATAAAACTATTTTTTTCTCTCCTACTCTCTTCTCATTTTCTCTTTTCCCTACTCTATGGCAAAGACATAGCCAAGAGACCCACCACTAGCTATAGGACCATAGTTAGGAAGATGAAAGATGATTGGATTTGTGCTAAGGTTAGTGAGCCTAAGCTTCTCTTGAGTTGGGTTATTACTTAAAGCCATATACTTCTTTTTATTTTTGGACCTTGTATTATGAGCCTAGTAGTATATGAGTGTGGGTCTTGTTTGGGCTTGTATTTTAGGTCTTGTATTTTGGGCCTTGTAGATTAGGATTTTTTGGCCTCGTATTTCTTGGGCCAAATAGTAAGATGTGTCTGTTTGATGGGTAATAAGAGTAAATAGTTGTCATTTGGGCCATAGATACACATTTAAATTTGAATTGGTAGTTGTAGATACCTAATTTTGTCCAGGGTATCCAAACCAAGGACAAAGGTCTACTAGAACGAGACAAACAGCCTTGGAGGACCCAAGGTGTTGTGCAACATTTTTGTTTTGATAATATCTCTCATTACAAACCTAATTTGGACGATCCAACCGTTGAAGTTAAAGATCAATGTATTGAAAAGATATCATCAAAATTGTAGCATGATCCTACGATTAACGAATTCTCTAGAAGTCTCACACTGCATCTAAAAAAGAGCATCATGTATGGACCATAAGGGTCCAATAGAGCACTTAAACAGACCAAGATAGCTTTGAAAGGCCTAGAAAACTCAGAAACCTAATCTGGGGCGCGGAACAACCATTCCCAATATTGGAACAACTCGTTTCAAAACCGCAACGCTTAATTCCCCTTTCCAAAAAAGCTTCGCGTTGGGTAGCGTTTTTGTTCTAATAATATCTCTTGCTACAAACCTAATATTGATAATCCGATTGTTGAAGTTAAAGATCAATTTATTGAGAAGATATCATCAAAATTTTAGCATGATCCAACGATTAACGAGTTCTCTAGAGGTCTCGCACTACAGCTAGATAATAGGAGTCTTATATTAGACAACATTTTTGTTCTAATAGTATCTCTCACTCCAAACCATATTTCAACAATCCAACAGTTAAAACTGAAGATCAATATATTATGAGGGTGTCATAAAAGAATCAATATGATATGACGGTTAATGAGTTCTCTAAAGGTCCTACATAGTGCCTAGAAAAAGATTATATTTTTGTAAGATTTAGTCCCACATCGAACAACTCTCTTATATTTTTGCCTCCTAGATGGCTATATAAGAAACCCTCTGGCCAAGGGATGAGACATACCTCAAGCTGCATAGCTTCCCCCCTCTCTATATAAATCTCTGAGTGATAATGGGGCCTTTTATAGAGCGAAGAGCTGTCAAAACACGTCCCACATGCATTTGGAAAGATTCCCTTATAAAAAGTTTGTTTCGGAGGATCTAAATTCATCTCTTTTATTTATTATTTTATTTATTTTATTTTATTATTTTATTTATTAGTTTATTTATTATTTTATTTTATTTTATTTATTATTTTTTTTCTTATATGCAATAAATAAATAAATAACCATGTAGATAATAGCTATTTTTGTCCTGTAAATAATTAATAAAAGGGATAAATATTCAAATTATTATTTATTATTATGCTAAATTCGTTATATGGTACTAAATTAGGGCATTGTAGGGTGCCTAATACATTTCCTATGCGTAATTGACCCGTGAACCTAATTCTGGTTGTCAAGGCCATAATTAACTTTTGAAAACTTTTTCTTTTTTTTGATGTTTTGAGTAAAATATCGGTGGTAGCTCCTAAAAACCTTTATTTTTTCCAAAAAAGCCATTGATTAATGATTAGTTTGGTTTTCAAGCATTCCCTAACTGATGAGATTTTCAAAATAGAAGTTCAAATCATTAGTGGGCAAGATCAGAATTTTTTGAGTTCTAATAGATAGCGACTCCGCTGGGGAAGCTTAAAGAGGGTTAGACCAAATAAATGATGAATTTAGCAAAATAAAAATAATAATTCAAATATTTACCCCTTTTATTTTCGTTGTAAATATTTGTTTATCTGTTTTAAAATGGCTTTAATATCTATTATTTGTTTAAATTCTCGCACTTGTTTGAAATAAACAACTTTACACAAACTCTTGCACATAATAGTTCCCTTTATACTCGGAGCATAAATGAGTAAACATAGGAAGTGGTTGACATACGACCGACCCAAGAATGGCTTTGAGCTTGTGAGTCTTGTCGAAAATCACACTTATGGTGATACTAGTTACTTTAGCCCAAAATACTGCGTCAGACCTTAGTATCTGTCTGGTGATGGCGACAGAGGTATTGGGTCCCTATAATGGGCCACCTTGGGAGCCTTGAAAAACTAGTGAGGACAATTAGAACCTTCCTATACAAAACACTTTCTTTGACAGGGATCTTAGACCATGAATTTGAACGTGACCGTTTGTAGGTCTATGTTGTGTAAGCATATGTACGTTGTGAGAGCATATGTTTGTTGCATTCATTGTGTGCTTTTGTTTGTTTTAAATGGATAAGGATTGTAGGCAAGCAAATGGATAATAAAGGAATAAAAAAATAAAGAAATTTATACCCTTTTGTACATTCTTAGGTTATCATCCCATTAACATCATATAGGTAGTTTTTTTTTCTTATAAAAATGATGAATAAAAAAGAGCCCTATCTTTATCATGCATCATCACTCCCTAGATAACAAAAAAATGATAAACCATAGGTAAAAAAATTTCATACATTTTTAGGCTAGCTCATTACTCTGTCATGCATTTATTTTCCTTATATTATAGAAGGATTAGGTAGTGTTAAGAAAGGTGGATTTTATAACATACGACAGTATGTAAGCTCTAAAGAAAGGTCCAAAATGATTTTGAAAATACTATGGTTGGACCTTTGTTTGATATGTTTGTTAAAACAAGCCTTCTTGGAACCTAACCTACATTATTTGCAAAAAACAAATTCCACTATTGTCGCAACCCGAAAATTTCCGATCTTACGACTTATGGTTTAGACATCCTTTTAAAAGTCTCATTAATTAAGGAATACCCGGACACCAGACTAATCCTTAATTAATGGTTTTGAAAATAGGTTCATGGAGACCCCACCAATATTTTACTCAAAATATTGGAAAAAGAAAAGGTTTTTAAAGATCCAATAATGGCCTTGATAACCAAAATTGGGTTCGGGGGTCGATTACGTGTAGGGAAGGTATTAAGCACCCCTACAACGCCCTAAATCG